ATCTTCATTGAACAAAGCAGAGAAAGAGAAACAATTAGAGTCACTGGAGCTGTGTAAATGAAATCAGAAAGGCTTAATAATCCATCTTGTATCTTTTTCTATGGTAGCAGGCTAAAAGACTTTCCTTTGTTCTATATCTAAATGTTTACCATTTACCATTACAGAGTGTGTATACTGTTAAGAAGTGTTCTTGAAGGGCTCAGCAGGTGACAAGGTGGTTAAGGTGCTAGAGCTCACATGGCCATCCACCCTGTTCAAGACCTAGACCAGGCCTGCCCAAAATCTTGAGAGGAGAATGAAAGAGAAGGGATTGTGTCATGGCCATCAGGGGATCATTTCTCACTTTCCTTCCTTCTCTGTCCCTGTCTCTCTCTGGTGAGTGCACATGCCCTATGGCAAAAGAACTAAAATGAAAAAAAGAAAAAAAGAAGAAGTGTTCTGGATAAAAGCTGACATATCTTACCATATGTGCTTTTTGATCTTACTGCACAAAGATAGATAAACAGGGAATCTCGGTTTCTAGGTTATCTTAGGAAAATACTGATGTACCTTCAACTTAATCGTAGCTCATTTGTTGAAATAATAGATTCTGCCTTTTACCATTTATAACAATTACTAGGTTACCACACCCACAGAGGGCTTAGAGTGAATATGAGGTGAGTGCATGCACCAGAAACCACCACTTCTCATGAGAACAATCTATTTTGAACAACATGCCTTTGGAGTTACACCTGCTCTAAGGGGGGGGTGCTGTCAGGATAAATGTATCTACTAATGGTCTGCTCTGTTTCTGCACAACCCACCTGCCGATTCCATGTGTGCAACCAGCACTACAAGTGCCCAACAAGAAAATGAAACTGGGGAAGAGACACTAGTTAGTGGAAGAGCTTCCAAAGGGAGAGGCAGTTGGAGCATCTATTACCCTCCTTCCTAACCCCACCTGGTCCCTAAATTTAGAACAAAAGTAGGTATCCTTCACTGTTAATCTTTACCAGCAGGAAACTTCTGCCTGGAGGATGGGGTCTCAGCTCTGAGGTGCCATATCCCTTCCCAGCCACAGGGCTGGTATTTCCTCTATGCACCTCCCAACCCACTACACAAGGGAGACAATGGTGGGGGGATTTACTGTAGTCAGCCCTGATACCCATGTTGCTTAGGGTCAGCAGAGTTGGTCATTTAGATATCAAATTCTTTTCTGGTCAGTATGTGAGGGTTTTTTTTAAAAACATTTTAACTTTATTTATTTAAATTTTGACCAAAGAGGGACAGAGTTCACACGCGACCACGTGTGTGAGAGAGAGAGAGAGAGAAAGAGGGAAAGCAAGCTGCCAGGTCCAGGACTCGAACTGCAGTCAGCCATGTAGGAGTCCAGTGTCCTCAACCATCACTCCACCTGCCCGTCCCAGTCTGTGAGATTTTTAACACCAAATTTGTCCCCGTGGACCCAGAACAGAGCATGCTTCCCTTTTTCTAGGAAAAAGAGAAACAATAATATTTTGCACGGTGAATAACCTCTGCACACGTGAGACACTGTCTTTCTTTCCTCAAAGCCCCAAAATGTGTTCCCTAATGACAAGAACTTTGAAAAATATCCTCTACATAAATCTCCAAAGAAAAGGAAATCGACTTCTATGTGGGGCTTGCGACTCCCAGAGGAAATCGATTCCGTTGCCTCTCAGGAGGAAACCGGGGAGGAGCAAAGCTGCTAGCAAACTGATTTTGAAATAAAACAACATTCATTAAAGGTTGTTCGGGCAAAGTAAAAACCTTCTCTCCTGCTACTCCTAGTTCCTGCTTCCATTCGACTCAGCGAGCTTGTGAAACGTGGCTGCTGGCAAGAGCAGAGTGCGGCAGCCAGAGGCGGGCGACTCAGTCAAATTAAACAGATTCATTTAACAATTCAATGAACAGATACACAGAGCAACCAGCAAGGGGATGAGAGGGAAGCAAAGCTTCCTGAGCAGGCATCAGCCTCTCCCAGACACAGCCAGCTTTTTCTAGGGACTGTCTGGCAATGGGCCCCTACCTGTCTGCCCCAGACACCTGGCCCTCTGCTGGAATGCCTAGATGTGACACCAGACCCTCCTCCCTCCCCCTAAGCCCAGTTGGCAGGCATCTAGCTGAATGGACTTCCTGGAATACGGTTTTGATTATTAATAGCAAGTCAGTCGCCTCCTTCGAAGAAACAGAGCTTTTAGCCTTGGAAAAGTATGGATTCTGAGAGTCTGAAGGAGCTAAAGAGGCATCTAATTCTTTTCTTTGAATGGCTTCTCCAGGATCTCACCCCAAAATTCAAAGCCCCAACTCCCGGTATATGCCGGCCCCTCTCGACACAGCTTGCTTTCTGCTGTCTAAAAAATGTGTTTCCTCGCATTGACTCGAATAAGCTCTTGAGCTTCACCATTTTTCTCAAACAGTGGATCTTATTTCTTTCATGAGTTTAAAAGTAATTTCATTTTTAAACTTTCAGGGAGGTTAGCGTTTGCTAATCCAGACCGCAGATCCATGGGTATCTTGTTCTTCCCTCCCTATCATCTCTCCCTGGAGTCTTGGCTGCCTGTTTGGGGGACATTTAGAAACATGTCTTCCTCAGTCTGGAGACCAAGCTGATGAAAACCCCTCCCTAAGGATGATCACAGGTCATAACTCTGCACGGTGCCCCTTTCTGTCACTGCCGTGTCCCCAAGTCATGCTGGCAGAGGGCAGAGCTCTCTGTGGAATTGTAGCCCAAGCTGAGCTGCTCACCACTCAGGTCAGTACTTGAGAGAAGTTGGTAAAAGGAAAGGGGACTTTATCCCAGAAAACTGCCCTGGGAAGATAGCGAACTAATGTTCAAAGACAGTCTCCAACATCTTAGGCTAGAACAAGGGATTTTAAAGGAAAGAGGAATGGACCAGCCAGTGGTGAGATGGGTAAGGTGACTGGAACCCACATGGCCAACTGTGTAGTTCAAGTCCCAGGCCCAACGGCTTGTGCATGTGTGCCCAAAATCCTGAGAGGAGAATAGAGACGAGATTGTGACATGGCCAGTATTTGTCTTTTTCCTTTGCTTGTTTCTATCTCTATCTCTGTCTCTCCTACAAGTGCATGTGCCCTCTGGTAAATCAAAAAATAATAACATGGGCAAGCCCGGGGGACTCATGCAATGCAACTGGGCTCACAAAAAAAAAAAAAAAAAAAAAATTATCATAATAATTTTACAATGAAATGAATCAAGAGAAGCAGGAAGGGGGTGGGAAGAGGACCTGCATGCTCTTCTGTACAACAGTCAATCATTTTCTTGGTCACCTGGAGACCGTCAGCACCTATGTTTCTATTCTCAGTTGTGGTCATCTCGCCCTCAAGGCCAGAATGCTCCTGTCCTGTGCTGTCTTAGGCACATCAGCTCTCTGGCTGGGACTTCAAGGCCCAGCTCCTGTGAAAACTCAGTGAAGCTATGGTTAGGGATTATGCTACAAGTTGCAAAGCAGTTAGCTAACAGGAAACAAGCCATCTTTAAGGGCCGGTCTATTATGTCATGTTTAATTTGGAATCACTGTGGTTCCTTCTTGTAACTTGGCTACAGAACTAAGGTGTGTCTAGCTGGGCCAGCATCCAGGAGTCCAAAGGCCTGGGTCCACTACACAAGGGAGATCTTACCTTGGGGGTAGAGATAGCAGGGAGACTGAGACGGGCAGGAGGTTGAACAGACTGAGGAAACGGGTCAGTTGTGACAACCGAGCATCAGCCTGCACCCCTAGGGAGACTGATTTGAGACACCATGCTGAAGGATTATACTCACGGTAACAGTCCTCACTTATCCCCTTGTTTTAGTCTACCCTTTGGGAGAAGAAACAAACACAAAGCTGATTAAAAATCTTATATTCCTACTACAGCCAAAGGACAGGTCTGCACACAGTTTAAGAGGTGAGAACTCCTACCTCTGCACTCACCTAGCCCCAGGCTACCTGTGTGTACTCTGTTCACTAGCACCATAGAAACCCAAATATGCTCAATACCCAGTTCATGGATTCCTCCGCAATTTTGTTTTCCCTAGATTTTCAGAGCTACTTGCCTCCCTGTAAAACAAACCTGACTTATTTTTTTTTCAAAATGACAGCTTCTTTCACAGTCTGGCCCTGGGTGTTATTCTCTCCAGTTCTGTCGCTCCATGCCAGGATTTTGAAGGGCATTACTGCTCAGAATCGTGTCTTTGCTCCCCTTAGGACCAAAACTGGAAGGCTGTCCAAGTCTGACAGGGAGAACTGTCAACCTGGCCTTAGCAAAGGTACTTGCCTCCCAAATTTCAGTTTCCTTTTTAATATAATTTTAAAATTTTACTTATTTCATTTCTTCCATGAGCAAGAGAGACAGAAGGAGAAAGAAAACAAGTACTCCAAACAGATTCTTGACTTCATGATCTACCTATAAGCCTTAGTCAGCCCCAGCCCTGGATCACAACACATGTGACCCCGGTGTACTCAGGGAGGTCTTGGGATGCAAACCTTCCCAAGTGGGTCAACCTGGCAGAGAACTGTGTTTTACCGCTGAGCCACTGTCTGGCCCCTCAAACTTCATTATCCCATTTGTGGAACCAGGAATTCTACACTACAATCACCAACCAAAATAAGATGAATGTAGAAATGATGCCAGCGTGTAGATATGATGTCAAAGCAACTCCTGCCATCCTCCCACACTCCTGCCATGTAGGTGGCACTGTCTCTCACCTCGCCCATTAAGAGTCAACTCCCATGTCCACCTGCAGAAACTAAATTGGAGTTGATAACTATCCAGTACAAAGGAAGAGAGAGAAGAAATGCTCCCAGGTGGTACCCAGGTAAGAAATAGCTCTCCCCGAAAGGCTACCCACTGTGAGAAGGAGAATTCAGATAATCACTGTCATCTCCTTGGGCTCCCTGGGATGATAAGAACTAACCTGCCCTGTGACATCACAATCATTGAATGTCGGCTCCTTCACAGAACTCTCCCAAGGCACAATGATTCATTGTGCTTTTCTCCAGAGGGCTGTAAAGCTGTCCAAGTGACCACAGTATCAAGCTTCTGTTCAATGGCTAGAAAACTTTACCAAAGAAAACTCCTTCAGAAGTTCAGACAAAAGCAGGCAGAAAGAAGTAAGTAGATGTAGTTACCCAATTTCTTTTCTTCTTAATTGCCCAAGGGTATGTGTGCTCACCAGAGAGAAACTGAGAGAAAGAGAGAGACATAGAGGGAAAAAGTACCCCTCCATGGAGCATGGTCACACCACGATCCTTTTCCCTCCATTTCCCCATCCTGCCTACATTTGGCACATGGACACATGTACTTGGCATGTTTTTGAAGCCACCATAGCCAGGACTCAAACCAGTCAGCCACAGACTGTGGTGGGGCTCCATATATAAGGTTTTCTGTACCTTCAGGGATCCAGCTCCCTTAACTACTAGGTTATGGGGTTGGCCATGGAATGTTTTTATTTTATTCTACTTCTTCTTTAGCCATGGAATGATTTTATTATATTCTACTTCTTCTTTTGCCATGGAATGTTTTTATTTTGTTCTAATTCTTCAGAGGAGAAAGCCTTCAAGATTGCAAGTCGAATTATCTGACGTTTCTCTATCTCCTCTCCTCTGTTCTCTCTTCTCTATTCCTAGGTGGTTATGGGTGTAGTCACTGGTTGAGGATACACTGAAGAAGTTGTAAGAATAGAAAAACAGGGCAATAGATGGATCCTGAACTTCAGCTGTGAACTAGTGTTTTCAGAGACTTAAAATGCAGATTTTCTGCTGAAACTTCTTCCTCACTTGTTTCCAGAAAGGCACAAACCCAGGCCCACCTCCACATGGATCCTGAACTTCAGCTGTGAACTGATGCTAGCACGCCACATAGTTTTCAATTTTTGCATTTTAATATTAAAATCTATAGTTTTTTATTATCCTTTTTTCTTATTATTTTATGTTTTCTTCTTTCTTTTTCTTTTATTCTTTTCTCTTTTTTATCTTTATTCATTTGCTTCTCAGCCTCTGCTCACTAAGTGTCTAGACAGGTCCAAGTGAACAGAATCTATACGTCCAAATACAGATAAGGTCAGAATATTCCTCTATTCCCACTGATTCTGTTGCACAAAGAATGAGAATGTAACAGAAGAGAAATTGCAGATCACCTTCTCCTGCACACCTCTGAACATTCAAACTGAACTTTAAGAATTAGAAGAAATACACCTCTGCTCACTAAGTGTCTAGACAGGTCCAAGTGAACAGAATCTATACGTCCAAATACAGATAAGGTCAGAATATTCCTCTATTCCCACTGATTCTGTTGCACAAAGAATGAGAATGTAACAGAAGAGAAATTGCAGATCACCTTCTCCTGCACACCTCTGAACATTCAAACTGAACTTTAAGAATTAGAAGAAATACACAATGACTAGAAATCACCGCAGGGTCACAAGAAATATGGAAAAACAAGAAAATACCTCTCCTCCTAGGAAACATAAGTCCTCTTCATCCTCAGACAGTATGGTGAAATTCATAGAAATGTCTGATAAAGAATTTACAATTTTCATGGTGACAAAGCTCACAGAGATCGAAGAGAAGAGAGGCAATGAACTGCAGAAGAGGCAGGGGAAAGAAGCTGACAAGCTTCAGGAGATGAGGAAATTCTTGCAAAATCTAAAAGAGGAATTACACACTTTAAAAAAGAATCAACTAAACCCGTTAGAGATGAAGACTATAATACAGGAAGTCAAAACCTGCCTCGAAAGTATTCTAAGCAGACTAGATTACACTGAAAATCGAATCTCAGTTGTAGAAGATAGAATTACCGGCCTAGAAAAATCCACCATGATGATTGAGAAAATCGTCCAAAAACATGACAATACTATATGAGAAATACTAGATACCATCAAACATCCAAACATCTGGATAATTACCAGAAGGAGAAGAGACCCATAAGGGCATTGACAATCTATACCATGAAATCCTGGAAGAAAACTTTCCAAAACTACAGAAGCATTCAAAGATCCAGTCCCAAGAAATATAAAGGACCCCAAATAAATCAATCCAAGAAGATCTTCTCCAAGACACATTATAGCCACATTGAGCGAAACCACAGACAAAGACAAGATACTAAGAATGGCAATATAGAAATGGCAAGTTACCTACAAAGGCTATCCCATCAGGCTGACAGCGGATCTCTCATTGTAAACAATGCTTGTGAGGAAAGAATGGGAAAATATTTTCAAAGTGTTAAGGGAAAAGCAATTGCAACCACGGATACTATACCTGGCAAGATTATCCTTAATATGGGAAGAAAAGACAAGAACATTCTCAGATAAACAAAATCTGAAAGAATTTACCAACACCAGACCAAATCTCCAAGAAATTCTGTAAGGAGTGCTATACCAGAAAAATTAAATACAGTTGCACAGAAATAAGACTTTAAAAACTAAGAAAATGGCCAACTTAATCATGGGGACAAGTCTGGAGTTGAATATTATATCCCAGAATTTAATTGGGAAAATTCAATCACAACAAAAGATAAAGTACATCAGACTGAACTAGTGAAATAGAATTTTTTATGACTTTTGACTAAAATATTGTTGATTTTTTTTCTAGGCTTTGTTTTCCAATTTTAAGGATTTTTGTCTTGTCTTGAGCTGCCAATAGGTTCATGTACCTACTATTTGAACAGAATCTTAACCTGTTTCCTGGCTTTAAGTTTTAAGCATATTTCCTTAGCATTTCTTTGATTTATTAAAGTTAAATGTGCTTTGCTTAAAATTGAAAAAAGAAAAACAGGACAATAAATATGTAAGTGTGTGAGTGTGTGTGTGTGTGTGTGTGTGTGTGTGTGTGTGTACATGAGCTTTCCAGTGTTTTGGGATTGTCTATGTGTTTCTATCATACCCAGGTTTAATAAAAACCACTTCACACTGGCATACATGCCAGGGCCTTGGAAAATGAACATGTTCCTGGAAATGAACAACAATGCAAAGGAATCTGAAATAACTCTCTGCACTAAACAAGGTCTCTGGTCTATTTGTAGATTTGCCTACGAAAAGCCCATTAGCTCTGAAGAAGTTCAAGCTGCTCCACATGTGTGCTCACCAAGGGCTTTCTGAAGGGACTACACTCCATCCATGGTATTTGCCCTCAGATTCTCCCCCTATTATATTTATACATTTCCATCTGCCCTGCTTCCTGGCTCCTGGATTTTGCTCTTTTTAACCAAAGCATAGACAGCATAACATTTTCCTCCTTTGGTTAAAGATTCCCCACAGTCATATAACATGTGCTCCAACCTCTTTTTTTGCTTTATTACTGGCATTTAATTCAAGGCTTTTGTGAGCCCTTTTGACATTTCCCCCCCAAGTTTTCCACTTACCTTACAAGGTAACAGCGTTTTTAAAGCTTTGCAAAGTGCAGAGAACAGTAAATGAATCACTTCTCTGCTGTTTATATGTTTGGGTACAACGAAGGCTCTTGACAAGAAATGAGCCTTTCCAAGCCTGGCATTTATGATCAATTTCTGTAGCTATTAAATAAGGTTGTAAGCTTTTTGGAGAAGCCTACCTACCTATGACTATTTATTTTGTCTGGTACAGTTCCTGGTTGCTGCAAGTTATTTTTCTAGCATCATGAATAATACACCAAGGATAATAGACTGCTTTCAATTTTTTAATTTATGAATCCTGGATTTTGGCAGTAAAATGCTGAGCTTAGTTACCCTACAAAAGGAGCACTCATCCTGGGGTGTGCCTCATTTGTGCCTTGTCCCATACACGGTGCTCCATTAAGGCCAGACACAGGTCTTAGCCTTAGACCCATCTCAGCAAAGGCCAAATAGCACTGCGTTCTGGGGAAACTTCCAGAGATCAATTAATTGCAACCCTCACAAGAGAAAAAGGTCTGTGTGAATTTTGAAGACATAAACAAATAGGTGTTTGGTTTTCTTTCCCACATTTCATCACCATAACTTCTGATAGCAAACAGGCTAGACTTGTATTTGAATTCAAGAGCATGGCTGTCACAAACGAAGTCATGTTTTAAGAAGAAAAATTAAGTAGTGGTGAGCTGGTGGCATGGTAATTGGGGCAGCTGGATTCCACGTGGTTGAATTTGGGTGTTAAGTCTCAGATCTAGTTGCTTGAAAAACATGCTGGGTGCATGTACATTGCATGCCCCAGAACCCGAGAGAATGGAAGAGAAGGGATTGCCATGTAGCCATACCCCCAGAAGTGATTTTCACTTTCTCTCTTTCTCTCATGAGTGCACATGCCCTATAGCAAAACTAAAAAATAATAATAAACAAAACACAAGCTCTAATGGAGCTCCGTTTTTGAAGAATTTTCTGAACTATGCTTCAGCTGTCTATTCTGCTGTCCAACATTGACTCAGAAACAACCAAACAACCAAACAACCCACAATGAATTAAAGACTGGGTCCACAGTGAATTAACTGCAACCATCATGCCCTAGGTTTGGAAAAGTCAGACCCAGCTGTGTTGGGTGTTTTGTGCCTTAATTATTGAGATAAGTGGACAACCTTGGTTTTCACTTCAACTAGCCAAGGAAGTTGAACTGTCAAGTTTATTTCCAGTCTCCTGGAAACTTAAAAACAAACCAAGAATGATCTGTCTTCCTTGGCTGAAAGTTTGTTCTGTTCACAGTTCCTCAGGACCAGAAAGCAAGACTATGTGCCAAGTCAACCCATCTCTAGGTACCACTTGGCTTACCAGCACTGGCAATCATTTACTTAGCTATTCTAGACTCCATTGTTGGAGACGCATACCTAGACTAGAGAATGGGGGAGCTACCAGACAGCCACAGACTATCTTTTTAGCTTGTCTCTATAGATGTCCCCTGGGTTGAGCAGAATGCAAAATGAAGGAAAGAACTCACCTTAATCCCTTCTAATTCACCCATAAATACCAGTGGAATTCAGAGTACATGACGACAAAATTCTCAGAGCAAAGGATTTCAGTGAAGTGGGCAAAACCCTGGCAATAGGACAAGCCCCTAGAACTTGCCTATCTCCTCTACATGCCCTCCCAGTGGCTCCCTATATGATTCCCATGATTCTACTGGGGTAGTGACAACTGATGCTAGACCCGCAACTCAGTTGCTGAGATATCAGGGAACATTTTTTCTTCTTCTTTCGCTTTTTTGAGAAAGATTTTTACTATAGGGTGTATGCGTGCTCACCGGAGAGACAGAGACAGAGAGACAGAAAGTGAGAAATCATGCCCCACACACACACCCCCAGGGGAATGGCCATGGCCATGCTTTAATCCCTTCTTCTTCATTCTCCGCTTGGAATCTTGGCATATGCCCGAACCACCATGCCACCAGCTGGCCCCCTACTTAATTTTTACTCTTGGGCAAGCACACACATGTGCCTGGTGTGAGTTTTAAGCCACCAAGCCTGGGACTCAAACCGGAGCCGACTATTTGGGAATCCAACAATGTAATCATTACACTATCTGCTGGGTCCCTCAAGGCACATTTTCATTAGTACCTGGTCTGGACCATGGCTAACCTTGACCCTGGGACTATTCTCACAATTCGGTGCACCTGCAGAGTCCATCCCCCAGTTCAAAGCTGATACACATTCCTGATGGGTGTGTTCTCTAACAAAACTCGTGAGAGGTATGTTTTTATTTTTTATTGATTTTTCTATTTTATCTTTCCTAGTCATAGAGAAACAAATTCAATAACCGTAGAACCAAAAGTGGAAATAATATGCTTATTAGCACAAGGCTTTGTCTACTGCACCAAAACAACATGATCCAATGACCACACAACAGTCCTTTTTTTTCCTTTTCATTATTAGGTTTTAGATGAAGGTCCATGGCTTGAAAAACATGCTGGGTGCATGTACATTGCATGCCCCAGAACCCGAGAGAATGGAAGAGAAGGGATTGCCATGTAGCCATACCCCCAGAAGTGATTTTCACTTTCTCTCTTTCTCTCATGAGTGCACATGCCCTATAGCAAAACTAAAAAATAATAATAAACAAAACACAAGCTCTAATGGAGCTCCGTTTTTGAAGAATTTTCTGAACTATGCTTCAGCTGTCTATTCTGCTGTCCAACATTGACTCAGAAACAACCAAACAACCAAACAACCCACAATGAATTAAAGACTGGGTCCACAGTGAATTAACTGCAACCATCATGCCCTAGGTTTGGAAAAGTCAGACCCAGCTGTGTTGGGTGTTTTGTGCCTTAATTATTGAGATAAGTGGACAACCTTGGTTTTCACTTCAACTAGCCAAGGAAGTTGAACTGTCAAGTTTATTTCCAGTCTCCTGGAAACTTAAAAACAAACCAAGAATGATCTGTCTTCCTTGGCTGAAAGTTTGTTCTGTTCACAGTTCCTCAGGACCAGAAAGCAAGACTATGTGCCAAGTCAACCCATCTCTAGGTACCACTTGGCTTACCAGCACTGGCAATCATTTACTTAGCTATTCTAGACTCCATTGTTGGAGACGCATACCTAGACTAGAGAATGGGGGAGCTACCAGACAGCCACAGACTATCTTTTTAGCTTGTCTCTATAGATGTCCCCTGGGTTGAGCAGAATGCAAAATGAAGGAAAGAACTCACCTTAATCCCTTCTAATTCACCCATAAATACCAGTGGAATTCAGAGTACATGACGACAAAATTCTCAGAGCAAAGGATTTCAGTGAAGTGGGCAAAACCCTGGCAATAGGACAAGCCCCTAGAACTTGCCTATCTCCTCTACATGCCCTCCCAGTGGCTCCCTATATGATTCCCATGATTCTACTGGGGTAGTGACAACTGATGCTAGACCCGCAACTCAGTTGCTGAGATATCAGGGAACATTTTTTCTTCTTCTTTCGCTTTTTTGAGAAAGATTTTTACTATAGGGTGTATGCGTGCTCACCGGAGAGACAGAGACAGAGAGACAGAAAGTGAGAAATCATGCCCCACACACACACCCCCAGGGGAATGGCCATGGCCATGCTTTAATCCCTTCTTCTTCATTCTCCGCTTGGAATCTTGGCATATGCCCGAACCACCATGCCACCAGCTGGCCCCCTACTTAATTTTTACTCTTGGGCAAGCACACACATGTGCCTGGTGTGAGTTTTAAGCCACCAAGCCTGGGACTCAAACCGGAGCCGACTATTTGGGAATCCAACAATGTAATCATTACACTATCTGCTGGGTCCCTCAAGGCACATTTTCATTAGTACCTGGTCTGGACCATGGCTAACCTTGACCCTGGGACTATTCTCACAATTCGGTGCACCTGCAGAGTCCATCCCCCAGTTCAAAGCTGATACACATTCCTGATGGGTGTGTTCTCTAACAAAACTCGTGAGAGGTATGTTTTTATTTTTTATTGATTTTTCTATTTTATCTTTCCTAGTCATAGAGAAACAAATTCAATAACCGTAGAACCAAAAGTGGAAATAATATGCTTATTAGCACAAGGCTTTGTCTACTGCACCAAAACAACATGATCCAATGACCACACAACAGTCCTTTTTTTTCCTTTTCATTATTAGGTTTTAGATGAAGGTCCATGGGCATCTGGGAACATTTTCAGAGACCAGGTTAGTGCAATCCTCACTAGCAAACAGCTTCATCAAGTATTTGAAAAAGTAATTAACTTTTCCTTTACATATGACTTTAAGGCTACTTTACTACAAAGAGATTAAGCCTGGTCTTCAACTGAAGAGTTTTTTGTCTCCAAGTTTAATGTTCTTCCCTACGATAATCACATTGTCTCCCCTACTGCAGGTCCAGCAAGTGCTATCTGAGGACCTACTATGGGCCAATCACTGAAACAGATGCTGGAATTCAAGGATAAAGAAGATTCATCCCTGTTTCCCAGAGCTCACAGTTCTCAGCACAAAATGAAGAAGGGGACAGAGCACCCACTGAGACTCAGGGATAGCTGGTCACTAAGCTGAACCTTGAGTGACAAAGAAAGTTACACTGTGTCTCCCAGGGAAATTGCTATTTCTCACAAAGAATCTAAAGACGTAAAAGCCTGTGAGAGCACTGTGCGTGGGCTGTTGTGAGACAAGCAGTCCTTATCAGGGGTTCAGATAAGACAAACTTTCTTCCCTGAGTGTGCACAGATCCACCTGGAGGATTTGTTACAGTATAGATTGCCTGCCACCTCTCCCACCCCAGGGTGCTATTTCAGGAGTCAAGGCTGGGTTTGGAAAATGCATTTCTTAAATGTTCTCAGGTAATGTTGATGCTGCTGTCTGGGACACCACTTTGAGAACCCTGGAACAGGAGACTGAAAAGGAAAGAAGGGGATGAGCCATGGAGATCCAGCTTCTCTTCTCATAGTAGACAAGCAAACTGTAGGTATGGTCAAAAGGTAAACTGACTAATTGAAACATGTCATTGTTAGGATGAAAGAGAGGAAGTTCAGAGAAGGCTGTCTTCAGGTGCATTTATTTCCACCTTTCTCTCCTCTTAGCAATCACCTTCCAGACTCCACTAAAGGTGTTAAGTAGTATTTGCTTTTCTCTTTTTCTGCTAACTTTAGTGGAAGTTTACATAATGTGGTTACAGTCATGTGAAGGAATTAATCGTGTTACCACTTGTAGAGTCAGGTATATCTTCCCTCTAAGGGTCACAGTCAACACTTCTATAGCAAAAGTGGAGAGAAGAGAGTAAAGTATAGAAAGAGGAAATTATAACAGATTTATTATTTATTCAGTTTTAGATGACATGGAAGTCTTCAGGAAGGAAGAACCAAAGGCCTAGAGAAAATTATCCGTTTCTGTAATTCAGATTCAGTGAAGAGTGTGCAGTCATGCAGGAATGTGATTGGATAAATGTGGCCTGCTAATCAGCTGAGATGAGAAACCCAGCTAGGTTCTCTGAGCAGATTCCTCCTGACCCAACTTTGCAGCACTCCTTCTTCCCAGATATAGGACTAGACATCTTCAGAACAAGGTTATATGACTAAGTATTGGACAAAGGTAAGTCAGAGAATTTCTTTCCACCCAACACCTATGTAGAAAGGTGGAGGGAGGTTAGACTAATATTTCTGGGTTTTATGGATGACTTTGGGGATAAATGGTTTTAGTGTGTATGACTCGCCCTGGGGAAAAGGAATTCTGGTTTCTATGACTTCCTTTAGAGGAGAATGAGAGTCAAAAGGCAGGATGTCAGGAGAGGGTCACAAAGACCTGCTTCTGGGCTACTTCTAAGACCTTCGAGTTCTTTACATCTAAGGCCTCGGCATGCCAAAGCACTCTGCTTTGGAGTTTTGTTTTATGAGCCCAACATGCTACAAGCAAGGACAGATTCCTATGGAAAGGGTAGAGTCATCCGAAGGAACTCAGCAGTAATGGAAAATTCTCAAGCATCAAGGGAAAAGAAATCTGGAAACCTGATCTTGCTGAGCTCGTATTAAAATACAACAGGACCAGTGCCTGCTGTCTGGTTTGGGTAAAAATAGCAAACATAGGAGGGAGTAAGTGATAGAAAGTGCTAACTAGTAACCACTGCAGTCGTTCTCTACCGATAATGCACACAATAACATCTAGCAATTATAAGAACCTACAGACCTGTTCTGTGAGCACAAATCAGCTCTGCTCTCCATATTTTCATATTTCAACATGTGTTTTGTTGCTTTCTTATTTGCCTTCTGCATCTGCACTATATGTCATATTATTTTTTTCCTGTCTGATCTTTATTATTATTATTATTCATACATTAAATTGCTATACATCGTTTATATTGTGAAGATACTTTACCCAGCATGATATACACCTCAGTCCAGCCTAGTTGGGACTATTATAAACATCTTTGTCAACAGATAATAAACCTTATCTGTGTCCCACATGTATCTTACCCCTTTATTTTCCCCCCAAATTTTTTTTCCTATGCTCTTCCCCTCCCACACTCTCTTTTCACTTTGTTTCTAGTGTCCATTATAATTTTTAATACTTTTATGTTCTCTAGTCTTTCAGTTTCTATCAGAGAGTGTGGACAGTCGTTATATGTTAACAAATATTTTAATATCTAAATCATACCATTTGGTCCTGTTCATGGCTCTATTAAGTAAGCTAAAAAGCTATTGTCTTTGATTTAAAAAAAGATTTCATGGGGATCAGCAGATAATGCAATGGTTACATCCATCACTGGACTCCCACATAGTCAACCCAGTGGCTTAAAACTTATGCTGGCACATGTGTGTACATGCCCAAAATCCTGAGAAGAAAATAGAAGAAAAGGGATTGTGGCATGGTCATCCACCCTGGGGATGACTCTCAGTCTGTCTCTGCATCTCCAGCAAGCACATGCACCCTATGACAAAATTTTATTAAAAAGAAAAAAGAGAGAGATTTCATTTTCACGTACGGAAGTTACTTGATTAGGATCATTGGTAAGCATGGCCCAGCTGACTCTGAACTTGAGCCTACTGGCTTCTCCCCTGTTCTTCCTCCACTTTCCACCAGCTAACGTGTAAATGACAGGAAAGATTCATGAACACTGTGGCCCACCCTCTTGCCACGCTAAGAAAATTCTTTTACTATAGGCAAAGTTTTTAAAGAACCAAAGAATAAAAGCCAAGCCCTGAATCCATACATAACACAGCCCTATCTTTTGTGGAAGATTTCAAAGCAGGTTAAAGGAGTGCTCAGAAACAGGCCCAGCACATGTGGAGACTGGTTGGGAGGCAGAGGTAGCCCTGCAGTGCAGAGGGGAAGGAGGGTCTTTGCAGCAATAATGAAGAACAATGGTGAGTTCATTTTTAAAAAACGAAATGGCAGACACAAAACTTCTAAAATGAACCACATCCACTTATAAAGGATAGCATAAAGAAAGTAAAATTCACATCATCAAATAAGAAAAGATATTTCCTCTGTATTAGAACAATGTGGGTCCTGGATTTTATTTTATCCCAAGCCTCTAGGATAGTGTTTGGCCAGTGTTTGGCCAATGTGGCAGTGGCAGGGGACAGAGGAGGAGCTAAAAAAAGACTCTTTAGGGAAGAGGAGGAGGACACACCAGTACCAGTCCAAGTGCTGCCACAGGGGAGATACAGGGAGGTGGGCAAGGCATGAAACCCCTGTGCAACGATTTGCCAACTAACAGGAATTCATGAACCATCTTCATGTACTTTCCCATCCTGGATGTTTCAACAAAACCTTTTCCAGATCTACTTTCTAGAAATGCTGGTGAAAGTGAACAGGATTATTATTCACACCTAAGTGTGGGTGGATAAGCATGTGTATATATGTGTGGTGTGAATAGAAAGAAAGGACAAGACAGTTTGTCATAACCGAATGGGCTGGGACTCAGCCCTGGAAGGTGTGAGCCTTTGAGCTTGCTCTGTGGAGGTGGTGTAAAGAAGGGAGAGGCAGCAGGAGGTATGAGGAGGAGAAGAGGCAAGTAAAACAAGGGCTTCTGCTATTTTTAGCAGTGAGGACAGATTTCTGAATACTCTTCATAGACTAATGCTTTCCAAGAGGCCTGAGAGAGTCATGTCTACAAACATCAATCTTGCTTTGGCATTATCGGTAGAGAACGACTGCAGTGGTTACTAGTTACCACTTTCTATCACTTACTCCCTCCTATGTTTGCTATTTTTACCCAAACCAGACAGCAGGCACTGGTCCTGTTGTATTTTAATACGAGCTCAGCAAGATCAGGTTTCCAGATTTCTTTTCCCTTGATGCTTGAGAATTTTCCATTACTGCTGAGTTCCTACTTTGGTCTCTTGATTGTGGGTGGCTTCTTATATCCCAACCCTACATAAGATCACCAGATAAATAATAAGGCCTTCTTATCTACATTTA